TTTTTTTTTTGTTTTGTTTTATTTCATTTGTATTCTTCTTTACGGGGCTATATTGTATTTAAAAGCTAGAACACTTTTGCGTTTCCTGTGTTTTCGTTGACGGTTTCCTCTATCTCTTGAATCTCATTTTTCAAGTGTCTTACAATCATAAGGTGTTAGGGCGTTTAGCACTTCTGAAACGTTGTTGTGCCTTTTTCTGAAATCCTTATTGGTTTTTAACAATTTAATGAGCCGCTTTATTTATTTATTTATTTATTCTTTTTTTTCGGTTATTTTTGGGTTGTACAGCTGTTTCGCTTTTCATTTTTTTTTTCTTTTGCGTAGCTAATGCGTTAGTTTCCAATATCCCATTTAATAGGAAAGTTGTTACGGTTATAAAACAATTGAGCACTATTCAGATATATTTTAGGGAGAGATATGAAAGGAAGAGATTTCTATCAGTTTGCCTTGAAAAACCTCCTATAAAGCCTTATTTTTACTGGTTTTTCATTTGTACTATATTTTCTTCGTTTTTCAAAAACAAAAGAAAATTTTTTGTGTGAGTTGCTCATTGAAAGCATCTTTCATAGGTCTACTAACCTCTTTTGCTTTTGCTCTTACTTTTTCTAGATCAATTTAAGTTGTAAATAAACCTAGTTTTCAAGTAATAATCGTTGTTAATACTTATGAATCTAGTCAATGTCACGGATGCCTTTTTTTTTCAATTTAAAAATTTGCTTAAAACTTTAAATCTTCCTTCTTTTTTTTTTTTTTTTTTTTCGAAGCATTGTTGTAAAGCTACATATTTATGTACAAAAAGTGCGTTATCGTATTTATCTTGTATAACCGTGTGTACCCGTTTGAAACTGTACTGTACTTGAAAAATATTTGGTTTCTCAGAGCTGCTTCCAATTCGCTAGTGCCCAAAACCGGTCAAGTACAATAATGTAGATACCGGTTTATCATATCTCCTTGCTAGACTCAGTTTCATTCTTCTCTATAACAAAGTACGCATAATGTTGCAAAAAGCTACTTATGGAGGATTGGAAAA